TCCATGAGCCAAGAAAGTTTGGGCATATGTGCTATAACCGGAGGGAGGTTTCAGACAAAACTATAGTAAAGAGCTCTCCTTGAGAACCATGAGTGTTGAGGAAGAAGGCTCTGGGTGTCTGGTACTATCACCGTCCTCTATGCCCACAGAAATTCTAACACTAAACGCCTACTTCCTAGAGGCCATGGGACAGAGTCCTGGCACCACTCAGAAGCAGGTGGATTCAGAGAGTCTTCCACCAGTCTGTTGAAGGCATGGCTGAACCATCTACTCAAAAGCAATGCATGCTAGGATGTATTACAATTTGAAGTATATGTGTCAAAGCAGAGACTTCCACATGGCATTATGTCTCCAATAATACCCACACAGAGGCCCCAGGATCAAGTAATGAAAACAGATATGGTTCCACTGCCCTTCACATCTAATGCCCCACTGAGGAAATGGGTCCTGGTTTCTGCAACTTGGGGCTCTGCAAGTTTCCCAAAGTGAATGCACTTTGGCTTGGGGGGGACAAAGCAGGCATTTTATTGACTGTTAGAGGGCTGGGGGTTTAGCTCAGTGGCACAGCACCTGCCTGGCAAGCACAAGGTCATGAGTTCGATTCCCGGTACTGGAAAAAAAATAAAAAATAAAAAAAAATTTAAAAAAGAATATTGACTGTTAGCTACAGCTGACACAGGGAACTTTGAACTCTGATGTCTAAGGACTAGCAGATGGAGAAAAGCAGTTAGCATTTTGTTAGGGGCAACTGACCTTGATGAACAATTACACAATAAGAGCAAGAAGGAATCCACGAGAAAGTCAGGCACTAGGGTACCTCCTAATATACTTACCCAACTGACACGTGCGGCAACCCTGAGACAACACAGGGAGTATATTACCAGAGGGAAGAATCTTCAGAATTCTCAGGAATGAAGAAGGTGGTCACACGACTAGCTGAATCACCAGAACCTGCAGAGGGAGCAGCTAAGAGCAAGTGGGATTTAGGCTGGATAGTGAAGAAAGAAGACGAAGAACACTAGCTTCATCTCTGAGACCATCAGCAGTAATAGCGCTAGAGTGTGCTCCTTTTTTTAAAGTTTTCTCTCAGAAGAAAAGAGCCATGAAAGAAGTCATCGTGAAGTAGACCTAGGCAGCACAAAAGATGACCCAGAATGACCATGGAGGTATCCAGGTTAGGTGTCTGACTGAGAGAATGCTGCAAAGCATAATGGATTGGCAGGTGCTACGCACTTGGCCCCATGACATGCATTTATTCTCAGTCTCTACCTGAGCAGGTGGGGCTCCCACAACCAGCCCGATGTGGCACTCATCCAGCATGTAACTTTGACTCAGAGGCTCCCCTTCAGCCTGGCCAACACTTTCTGAGAACTCTGTCTCTGTGTGTTGTTCCTCCTAGCCAACCCTTCTGTGATGGTTGATCGATAGTGTCAATTTAGTAAGAGAAGCTTAGCCAAATAGGCTCAGCAATTCCACATCCCAAAGTGTGGCGCCAACCTAGGGTGGCTTGTTGCCTGCACGGTATAAAGGGGGAATGAATTTTCTTCTGTTTCTTCAGAGAAGCTCCAGGCTTTGCCTTCACCTTGGATGTCATCTCCTGGCTTCCAGCACAGACTCTGGCTTCCTGTGCAGATCTTTCAGCCTTCCAGCATAGACTCTTGGCCTTCTGCTGCAGACCCATCAGCTTCCTAATACAGACTCTCACAGGACATTGCAGTGAGCTCCAGACCTTCGACTGAATCCTTTGGTCTCCAGGGTGCAGACAGACCCTCTGCACTCCTCCTCGTCTGACTCTGTGGGTGGCCATTATTAGCCCATCTTCTAAATTCTTATATATTTGTACATCTTCTGTTTTATCTGTTTCTCTAGTAAATACTCACTAATACTCCTTCCTTTCTTCCCTCCTTCAACAGACTCTCCCCATCTACTCCCCATCCCTCCCTTTTGTATTGTTTCCACAATAAATACCTTGCACGTTTTATTAGTCCTTTTCCATTGACATAAAAGAATACCTGAAGCTGGGTAACTTATAAAGAAAAGAAATTAACTTGCAGTTTCAGAGCTGAAAGTCCAGACAACATGGTGCTGGCTCTGGTGAAGGCCCCCTGCCTGCATTACACCATGATGAATGGCACCACAACAGGAAACCATGGGAAAGGGTGAGATTAAATGTGGAGACAGGAAGCCAGAGAGAATGAAGAGAGACCAGGCTTGTCCTTTTGTAGCACTCCTTTCATAAGAACCAATATTGGTTCCACAAGAACTATCATTCCTTCTAAGGGCAGCATCCCCAGAACCCAGTTATTTCCCAGTAGGCTCCACCTCTTAAAGGTCCCAGCACCTCTATATACCACTACAGGACCAAGTGCCCAACACCTGAAAAATTGGGGGATACTCACACCACATCCAAACAGTAGCACACACATTATCCCACCCTGGAATTTTCTTTTTAAAGGATCTCAACTAAGATGCCTCTTTTATGTTCTTTCATTCAGTACGTGTGTGCATGTGCGTGTGTGCATGTGTGTGTGTTTGTGTGTGTGTGTGCATGTGTGTGGGTGTGTTTTCCAAACCACTAGACTGAAAAATGCCATTAGACTAGAGAGTTTTTCTCATTAAGCAGTTGACTCCAAGACACTAGACTGATCTAGAAAATATTTTTGTTCAATCATAAACTAACAAGAGCTAAATTTTATTGAGCATTTAATATGTGCTAGATAGTGTGCTGAATGGTTTATATACATTGTCATTTTCATGTATATACTATTAACCTTATTCTCTAATGATAAAACATTATTTGGATGAAGTCACACAGTTGGCAATTGGACAACTTGGGACTTAAATCCTGGCTTAATTGATGCTGCATATAGTCTCTCAGTTCAATTTGGAAGAAGTCTTAAATATCTAAGTGATCATTTCAGACTCCTCCACCTTTAGAAAGCAGTATCACACTAGGTTGAATACCTCTGGGAGGTAGCTGGAAGCTCATTCCTACCTTGTGTAATGTAGCCCCTCATGAACAGAGGAAGGAAATAACATGCATTGAGCCCTTTCTGGGTAACTGGTTCTTTATATTTGTCATTTTACTTAGTCCTCCCGGTAACAAGTATAAAGTGGGCATATCCATCTCATACAAGAATTTCCTGTACATGATAAAATTGAGGTTCAGAGAAGTGAGCTTTATGACCAGCAAATGGCAGGACTAGGATTCAAACACAAGCCCTTTTAACTTCGAGCCTTTCCTAGTTCCAGTGCTTACCTGGCTTTGACAAGTGCTGAGCTAGCAGGTGCTACACACTTCCTTTGTGCTAGACATTGTGCTTTGCATAGATTATCCTTTTTGGTTTTCATTACAGTCCTTTGAGGATTATTATCCCTGAGACTGCTCAGTGACCAAGTCAGTTTAACTCCAGAGTTCACACCCTTTAAAATGATGCTCTGCTGTGTACATATATCCTCAAATTGAGCCAAAACTGTCCTCCTATTTTCTGGACTCATATGGAATTAGTTGAGTCCTTCTTTGCCTGAAAAACTATAGGAAAACAGCTCTTTGTTCTGTTCACAGCTGAGCATTTGCCATTCTAACTTGTTTTCTCATCCCCTTGTTCCCAGCCCCATCCTCTGAACACGATTCTGTTTATCTGCATCATTCTGAAAGCACTTGCTGGTTGTTTAATATTTTCCACAAAGGAAGCAGGAGGACCAAACTTTCCTATGAAAGGCAAGGTCAGATACAGCCTGCAGACAATGGTGAGAAAATAATGACTTCCAGCCATCATCATCTGGAGATGCATAGTGAGTCATTTTGCATTCTGTGGATTGTCATCTTTCAATGGGTGCCTTCTAAAGAAGAGGAGGCCATGATGATATCATAATCCTCAGCAGCTCAAGGTTTGGGGATGAAACACGTACTAAACTGGTGTAAAATATGCCAAGGACAAGGCATGCAAATCAAAACATGTGCAATAAATTTGCAGCAGGCTTGGAACCTATCCTGTAGGGTTATTGGAAGAATTAAATGGATTAATGTATGTAAAGTGCTTAGCACAGGACCTGGCACAGAGCAACTGATCAATAAATATTGGTCAGTATTAATATCTATACAAAATTAATCCAGTGTGCATATCAAGGAATAATAATAGTACTCAATCAGGACTCCCCATACATTCAGCTCTTATATATGTATATGTATATGTGTATGTGTGTGTGTGTGTGTGTATATCTATATATATAATCTACTTTAATATTTATGAACCTGTGGTAAATTTATCATCCCCATCTTAAACACATGGAAGACAAAACTCAGCGAAGGTAGATATCTTACCCCAGGTTATGCAGCTAGGTGAATAAGAACTTAGGTCTTAGAATCAAACAGGTCTGGTTTTAAATCCCAGCTCATGTACCCACTGTGTGACCTAAAACATGTCATTTAATGTGCCTAAGATAGGAAAACAAAACACACTCCTTAAAGATTTCTACTTAGATTCTGTTAACATTGTAATGTAAAACACTTAGGAGAAAATTTAGTACATTTTCAGCTCATAAAAAATGGCATGCACATATGTATGCATTTTTATTCATACATGCACACTCGTGTATTCTATATGTGTGTGTGTACACATATGTCTATATATAGGCTTTGAAGGATGAGTAGGAGTTTTTCAGATTGGAAAGGAGAGAAATAAGCACCTTAGGTTAAAAATTTTCAGGGCTAAATGCACACACTCTGCTATGCAACTCAGAGCAAAAGGGAAAGGCACAAGAAGGTTAGAGTCAGGAGAAATCAATTTGAAAGGAAGCAGTCTTGCAGTTAGGTAGAGGATTGGGGCCTGTAGGCCTGAGAGGAAAAACCAGGGTTTGGAGAATGTGGTTCTTCTGCCAGTCACCTGCTCAGGAATCCCAGCAGCTTGGGAGAGTTCACAACTCCGCCTCCGCCAGTCCCAGCCAATGAGAAAGTCCCCCATGGCGTCCCGTTGCCAGGCAACCGAGTAGACCCGTTCCCCACTGTCTGAGGCTTTCGGTTTCCCTCCCACGCAGGGCTCATCTAAGCCCAGCGATGGGCCTCTCTTAGCTCCTGCACACTGGCAGATGGGGATTTTGTCAGTGGAGTTTTACTTCTTTTGGTTCATATTTTATTTTGCTTATAGAAGAAAAAGATATCCCCTGCCGCAGAGGGGAAAAGCGTCTTAAAAGTTCTTAACTTTCTAAAAAGTAAATAATTTCAGGGTGCCTCGATTCTACCCTGCCTAGACTTCCTTATCCTGTTTGCGAGACATCCAGATGACTTGCTCTCCCAATACATACCCCTTGGAGAAATTTCTGGAACCCTTCACACCAGTGGCTGCTGAAGTAGAAGATTCAAAGAAAATCTTTCCTTGGTTGTCATCAGGTAAAGCCTGAAGGATTGCCAAGATGAACAAGGTACCAGCTCCTAAAAGGACGAGGAGCTTACCCAGCCTGGATCATCCAACGCAGGTAAGTCGCCCCTCTCTGCGGAAACCATTATGTTTTCAAGTACAAGTGAAATAGGAATTAGCTTCCACACCCATCAGGGAGAGGAGAGGAGAGAAAAGTCATGGTGTAATTAAATTGTCCAGACACATCTCTGCTCTTATCAATGGTTGGTTTCCCGTAAAGAATGAAAACACGAATCAGAACACTGAGCTGGGCCTTCCTATTAGCCAGTAATTCCAAAATGATGGAATAAATCAGCAGTGACACTGTAGAACATCAGAAAAAAATTGAGATGAATTGTAGGTTTACTATCGCAGAACTTATTTTCAGAGATCCACTTGGTTTGGGAGACAAGTATATTGTTCTCTGTAGTCGGGCTGTGGGTTGTCAAACTTTTGAGTTTGAGGGTTGGGCTTGCTACTCACTGGCTATGTGACATTAAACAAGTCACTTGGCATCCTTGAACCTTTATTTCTTGCTGACTGCAGGATAGGGCCAGCAACATTAGGCAGAGACAGTGTGTGGGCCAAATGAAGTCAGATATGGAAATCATCCAGCATAATGCTAACATTCGCTAATTTGCATAAAAGACGTGAAATTGTGCTGTTGATTTGAACGATAAGGACAAATGGGCATGTATTAAATGACTAGCATTAACTGGTGTTTTTTTTTTTTGTAAGTGATCATAATGGAGTCAGCCACAGTGATAAGCATGCCTTGGTTTAGAAGCCTCAATCCCTACATCGTCAGGGATTGGTGGAGGGAGAGAGAGCAGTAGTGTTGGCCCACACTGGTCCACTCACAGGGGAACACCTTGGATCCCATAATCACCCTCCAGGAAGGGTCCCCTGAGGGATTCAGTGTACATAGGGGAGCTTAAAATCTTAAAACTCACCAGCACTTTCTGTGTGGTCCCGAGCATCCTCAAGTTGCTCTTCTAGAAAAATGAACTCATCTTTGTACACCCCTTGTTGCTCAGCCTTCTTAGTGAGCTCACTCTGTAAGATGCAGCTTCTGGAATCTCCTTTCACCTCCAAATGCTACACAGAAATGTATTCAATGCAGAGCAGCCCCTTCTGGGACTCAATCAGCAGAGCAGGTGAGAGAGAAAAGTAAGATGGATAGTTCAGTAACCAAAGTGAGCATCAGAGCAGAGGGAGCAGACACAAACTGTTTGAGTTTGACCTGAACCTATACCTTAGCACCCTTGTGGCTTTGAACAAGTTATAGAACTTCTCTGCCTTAGTGTTGTCGTCTGTAAAATGGGAATATTGTTATATTTCCTCATGGGATTGCTGTGAGCATTAAATGACTTCAGATATATGCCAAACACCCGTAGAACACTTCCTGATATGCACAAAGCACTCTCTAGGTTCTTGTTTTATTATAATTCAGTTCATTTAACAGAGATTTAATGAATATTTGATATGTGCTACAAATTTAATTTTATAAAAAATGAGGCTTCTAAGAATCTTAACTCTCTCATGTGTATTCTTAGAATGGGGAGTGAGACAAGAGACAGATCATTATAATGCAAGGCAATTAATGATGTGCTAGGAAAGTATCCAAGGGTTTTGTGGAGGTAAAGGAAAGGGATAGTTTGGGGGGCTCATGTGTGCACTATATTGGGGAAGAACAAAGCCATGTGCCCAGGTAAATGTAGCAATTTTCCATCCAGGGATAGAGAGATGAAGGATATGGAGGGAGATCCAGAGGTTGGAAAATCGTCTCTTCTGGGATGGAGAATAGGGGAGGAGGTAGTGGGACTTGGGAAATTGGAGATGGGAAGAATGAGCCAGAGGACTGTGGGATAAACTAAGACCTGAGGCACAAAACCTTCATTAAAATCTTTCTGCCTCCACCCTACTTTCTAGGATATAATGGAGAGCCTGGTGTGTCCCTGATCTCATTCAAAGATCATGCCACTTAGAACTTCAATCTTTGAGAGGTACCAGAGGGAACTGATAAACCTAATCAAGGCTAACTAGAAATTAACAAACCAGAAGGAAGTATGTAGAGATCAGGACTGATTTCTAAGGCAAAGAAGACTAATCAGTCGGTCCCACAACGACGATGGCTGTTGTGTACTGAATGTTCACCATGTGCCGCCTTCTCAGCCAAAGCTCTGCCTTAATTGTGATATCTTCAGAGCCTTCCATAATCCCTTCAAAGTATGAACTGCTACCTCTTCATGAGGTAGATGGCCACATCAAGGCTTGGAGAGGAAAGGTCTCTACCCAACGGCACCTGGCCAGCAATGAATAGAGATAGGATTCAAACTCAGACCTTCTTGCTCCAGAGCTCAACCCTTCTCTCTGTCTCCCACCAAGCTAACCCACTAGGTTATCTGATTTAGTGCCCAGTGCCAGAGGGAATCAAAAAATGAGTTGCAAGGCACAATCAGATTGTTTGGAAGAGGAAAGGGAAATGATACATAAAAGAGAATTTTTAAACGCCAGATAGACAGACTGATGTCCACCGAGGAAGAATGAGAGGAGAGGTCTGGCATCTCAGGGGAAGAAGGTATGGCCACCAGGACCTGTGTAGTGTTAGTATCATGGATGGCCCTGGGGGAAACCCCAGAAAGTATCCCTTGGGCCTCTAAAACTAGCCCTCTATCCTTTTCCGGGATGGAGGTTGCCATAGTATAGCTAGTGTCACACTAGTGACTACCTTATACAACTTTGCTTTGAACAGGAGAGGTATAAATATGCAAATTCTCAGGGGCTGGGGATTTAGCTCAGCGGCAAAAGCGCCTGCCTGGCAAGCGCAAGGTCATGAGTTCGGTTCCCGGTACCGGAGAAAAAAACAAACAACAAAAAAAATGCAAATTCTCTGTTTGAAGGTCTTCCACGGAAAAATTTCCCAACTTGCCCCTCCCTTGGACTACCCGGTATATTTAAGGTAGTCCTTGTCACTTTGCTTCCTATGAAAGAAAAAGAGAATTCTAATGGAGTCAGCTGTGGGTGGAGGAAGGAACAGGCTGTGTGGAGGGTCACTACAGATGAATAAAATCTAGAAAAAGGACACAAAGAACGCCTCAGCGACCCAGTGTTCTAAAGAACAGATATGTGGAAATAGCTTTGGGCAAAAACTATTGAGGCATGGAGTATTTTATACACGGTCTGTTTCTTGGTGCCTAAAAGTTTCCGCCTTGCTGTCCTGAAAACTCAGAGAGAAAAGCATCCTTAATTTGGGCTGATCTTTAAACTTCTAAGAAGCAAACTGGGGGGCTTTGCTTATATCTTCTACCAGAACAATGAAAAGAGCCGATTCTTGAGCAAACTATTTGGATGGGAACCCCAACTCTGCCACTTCCTTGGTTAGGTAACCTCAGGCAAATCAGTTCCTCTCTGCCTCAGTTGCCTTTTCTGTGAAGCAGGTGCTTCATATTTTTTCCGATCTGATCTGAGAAGTTCCCGTTGCAAAATGCATCTTAATTTTTGTGTCATTAAGAAAAAAAAATTCTAGCAATTAACGAGATGATGAGATGTGTTCCAGTTTTGGAGATGATAAAATATGGAGAGAAATTGTGCATCTTACAGTAGATAAATTATAGCTACAAATGCTCCCTCCTCCTAAGATTACTGTGGGAAAAGATGAATTGGATGGGTAAAGCTTTTAGAACAGAGTCCGGCGCAGAATCAACACCATTGAATATTAGCTACTTGTTGGCTGTGATAGAGGTATGTTGTTAAGTCCCTCTTGTACCTGCATAGACTGAGGCTTGAAGAGCCGCGGGGTCTGGCAGTCTGCAGAGGAGTGAACTGGACGTGCAGGGAAGAGATGACAAACCGGGCAGAATCCTGGGTATGGGGAAGAGCTGCGTGGAGCATCTTTCTCCTCTGCTCCAGATGATGAAGATGAGTCTGCTCAGAGGGAACTTGGACCAACCCCCTGTGAGCCCAGCTGGGCTGCCTGGAGTCTGAATGGGAGAATCAGCACTTTTTTAGAAAGCCTTTTCCCCAGCAAGAGAAATCTTACATCCCGGCACAAGAGATGAGCACTCAAATGTGAAATGTTTTCCTCCCCATCCAGACAGGAGAAACTGTGGCTTGCGGGGTTGAAGGCCGCATTCTGCGGAGCCATGGGTCTTTGTTAGAAGTGAGCTCAGAGTCGAGGGATTCCTCTGGCCTCCAATCATGGAGGCCACACCTCCTCCACAGCACAACTGATTACCTTTAAAAAAAAATAAAATACAATGTCTTAGGACCACTGGGGGTTTTATTCTGAAGAATCCATCAGCTGTATGTCTGTTTCTATATCAGCTGTGACTTAGGCCAGGGAAATGACAAAGAGTCCTTTTCTCTCCCCCAGGGGTTCTCCTGACTCCATTGCCACTGTAGGTGACAATTTGCGGGATTCAAGGTCTTTTAATTTAGCTTTTACTTTTTTTTTTCTCCGTGGCCTGATGCTTTGGATTGGTAATGGTTGCCTTAGCAAATCTCACTGTGTGTAATTGCAGGCCCATGTGACAGGCGGCTCCTCTCTGTGATAAATCAGGATGCGCGGAAGGAGCGCGTTCATTGCCTCCTGACAGCAGAAGAGCTACCGGCGCTCTCTCTCTCTCGTGCCCCACATAATGAAGCAAGTGTTTTGTCCCATCTGCGGAGAGGCAGCTGCTCTGCATGGGGAGGAGGTGCAGGGGACGGGAGGGAGAAACATCACAGGCTTGTTGGTGTGACACAAGCTTAGGGAGGCAGAGAAAGATGGTTGTGCATCCCCTTTTTGACACTGGTGTGACGTTTTGTCACATGGATTGAATAATTGTAGGATCTGTGGCGTGGGCTTTTGGAAGAATTAACTAAAACAATGCATGCGAAACACTAAATATAATATCCAGTACATCATTAACTTCTGGTAAGTGGCAGTAGTGGGTATTATTATTTCTTTTGCCCCTCTGTCTTCTCTGGGTGTGAATGCCGCCACCACTACTGTGACAACCACAGGAGGCTGAGTGTTAATGGTAAAGTCCTAGAACAGGGTCCGCCACGAGAGAGGTCGGGTCCCAGCTTAAGGGC